GCGCTCGCCAACCCCCGGAACTGCTTTCGCAGTTCATTTCGGATTGCTTCGCAATCCGATGCTCGCTTTGCTCGCTCATTGGATACGTTCTTAACGTCTAGCTTTTGTATACTTTTTTGAACACTGAAGTTCCGAAAACTTTTCACTGTAGAAAATTCTAAACCTGTGCATTTCAATATTAATTTGAAATTGCAAACATAAATTGAATATTCTATTCTTCGCTTTTTTTTTATAAATAAACAATTTGGTGCTGGGACAAAATATTTTGAAAACATGCTTTTCCTTTCGAAACAGATTTTTCTATTCAAATAAGATTTTATAAATATTATTTTCATACACTGCGCCGACTGCATATTTTTTATTGGAACTTTTTCATAAAAAATTTCTATGAAATACATAATTGGAAATTAAGAGAATGATTGGTTTATTTTAATCAGAACGATCAAACCAGATTCAATAATGATGTTTTCTAAGTTTCGAAAAATTGTGAGTTGCATTTTATTATTCCTTAGGATTTTAAATTAATTTTATTGTGTTTTTTTCTGACAGAGTTATTTAAATTATTGATAAAAGTAGTATTATTAAATAAGGGAGAATGTCATCACATGAAAAATATGAACTGGGTTGTTCAAAAAGTTGACCATCTAAATATTGTTCACTTTTCAAAAGTTGATAAAATTTGGAGGGCGCTCCAAAAGCTCTGCGTGGTGAAACTCGTTCATTCTTTAACATGAAGTTTGAACGGAATAACTTAGTTGCAGAAAATTTATTCTGATGTTGCTCATATCACATTTTAACCAACAGTTACTTGTTAACCAACTCAACTGAGTTTTATTAGTTTCTGTTTTTTCTTTACCCGCTGTGGCGTTGTAATCCTTTTATTTTCGATCATTTCCTTTGTAATAACTATAATCAAACCTAGCTTATATCCGATCAGAGTACGGGTTCAGCGTTGACAGATTGAGCTACAAGTAGCGGATTGGGCAACTATTAAAAGTTCCTTTCTACTGAAAATCAAATTTGGGCTACCCGCTATTTTTTGGGCTACTCTTAATTTTTCGAGCGTTCCAAATCTTAAAATGATTCTGAAAAAAGTCTGCAGTTTCTTTACCTTTTTTAAAAAACGATTTTTTGTTGTTGTTGTTGCTGAAAATGCATCCACTTTAGTTTCGGATTCTTGATTTGTTTTGCTGCACAGAGTCTATAATCTTTCCATGTGTATGTCTCAAATCGTAGACTCGTGAAATAGCAAAGATGTATGGAAAGATGCACAACGAGTATGATGGAGAAAAAAAAATCTTTAGCTCAAACCATTATTAAACGTTTATCTTCCGGAAAAAATAAATCACGTGACTGGTAATTTGAATTAAAGCGAAATAATGAATTTGACGAAATTTTTAACGCAAGGCATTTAAATTTCACGTATTTTTTTAAGTTAGTACATATATATAGCATGATAAATAAATACAACAAAAAAACACGAAGAAAATTAAGAAAAACAATAAGTTTTATTTACTGCGCATAAGTTGCAAGCAAATAGAACTCATAGAATAAGTTCAAAAAGCAGGGAAAACATGGATAAAATTGCAGAACAATGAAAAAAGGGGAAAAAAGAAAAACAATAAAAACAAGAAAATTAACAAGAAACCGAAAATTTTTCCAGTTTTTTACTGATTTTTTCCCCTTTTTTTCGGTTTCCTGCTATTTTTATTTTTATTATTGTTTTACTTCCCCCCCCTTATATAACGTTTTTTTTTTGGGGGGGGGGCACAAAATGATGATTGGCGACTACCTGTATGGCGATCTCAGCAGATTTTAAAATAGAACAAAGATGTATGCAATAGAGGAATCGATTATATAGAGGATCTGCAAATTAATTTAATATCCCTCAATCTCCTGACATCCAGGAAATCTCCAAATCTGAAGATCTTTTCCGGAATAAATAAAAAATTGTACTGAGTCACGAATAGTGTGAGCAATTTTCACTCTGGGCACAGATAATAAAGAACAATTCTGGGATGAACTTGATCTGTCAACCCTGATGGATCACTAGTAACGTCTTATCTTAACAAGTATGCTACATAATTTTTTTTGATTCAATTTAACTCTTTTACTGCGTAAGCAGTCACTGGCCAAATTATTAGACGCACTAAAAGATTCTATGTAAAATCTTAATTATCAGGTGATACTATACAGCTTTATTGATTTCACGAGACTGAAACCAGTTTGCACTCGTGTATCAATTACGTTCGTGTATCAATTAGTNCATTTTCACTAAAGAGCTCGCGCATGCTCAAGATTCCGCTTCACTGCGCCTTACGTAAAGAAATTTTGAAGTTCCACCTTACATTCTATGTTAAACTTATCTGTACATTATTTTTCATTAAATAGTTATAGCTGTTTGCAATCGCCATATTCATTTTGTATTACCATGTATTTGCACCCCTATGATTATGAATCTTATATGTTTTTTCAGTGAGTACGAGTTCGTCGATGCCAAAGGTGTACAAGGCGTGCAAGAATAACGTCAGATTGCGAGATTCTTCTAGAAAAGATTACATTTACACATCACTCAGCAGAACATCATCGGAAGAGTCGTGTGAGTCCGATCCCTCTTCTTGCAATTCTCTCTCTCTCATGAGTACATTATTGAGCACATCATTTAACCTTTCGCTTACGGCGCTTGGCAATTCTGGTCCACTTATTGTTCCAGCCGTAAGAAAAAGGTTAAAGACCTTTTTTCTGTAAAGATCCGATTAATGAAAGGTTTTTCATGCTTGTTTAGCCAGATCAAGATCGGCATATGCTGGGACGAAACTTGCATTCCACAATATTCTTTCAAAAATTGCTGCCTTTTCAAAAATTCTTTTCCACATTTTTTTTTATTTTTTAGGAAAAAGACAGATATTGAAATGGGCGTAAGATCTAAAGGTGCGAGGGCTTGTGACTATTAATCTAACTCTAAATGCTTTGATCGATTTGTCAGTGATACATAAGTACTTACGGTTTTGAACGTTTTCGTTTCATTTCAGCCCTTCTAGAAATGTTACAATATATGATATATTTATCAATACCTTCTATCGAAAATCGACACCATATTTGAGGATAAGTAAATGAATGAAAGTAAATTTTTATTAAAATTTAAAAAAGTTTTATTTTTTTATATAAAAAAAGTGTACAGTGTCAGAATTTGTGTGTTTCTTTTTTTTTTTTTTTTTTTNTTTTTTTTTTTTTTTTTTTGTAAAAACAGACAAAGAAGAGTCAAACAAAAAATTTTCTGCATTGGAATTTCCATTCAATATCGAACAAATTAAAAGAAAAACCAGCACACTTATCTATCGATCGATCAATTAATTCAAAAATTATTCTTTAACCAATCAGATAAAAAAATCTTTATCTTCTTATTAATCAATCTTATCAATCGCTTGACCAATCGATTCAAAAATTATTCTCTATCCAATTAAATGAAAAAATCTTTTCCTTCTTATCAATCGATCAATCAATTAATTCAAAAATTTTGCAATCAGATAGAAAAATATTTTTCTTCTTATCAATCAATCTTATCAATCGCTTGATCAATTGATTCAAAAATTATTCTCTATCCAATTAGATAAAAAGAATCTTTTCCTTCATATAAATCAATCTTATCAATCGCTCCATCAATCGATTCAAAAATTATTTTCTATCCAATTAGATAAAAAAATCTTTTCCTTCATATAAATCAATCTTATCAAACGCTCCATCAATCGATTCAAGAATTATTCTCTATCCAATTAGATAAAGAAATCTTTTCCTTCTTATCGATCAATCTTATCAATCGCTCACGCAATCGATTCAAAAATTATTCTCTATCCAATTAGATAAAAAAATCTTTTTCTTTTTTAAAAAAAATCAGTCGATAATTTGTGCATTATATTTTTCAAGCTATTTAGTATTTCCGGTATTACTTGTTTGATATTCATGCATCATATTTTACTCTCTTTTACGAATATTAATATGAATTGAATGAATCAACTTATACGATTATGGTTGAATAAAATTATGTTGAATGAAGTCTATCAATATAACAGGAGTTGAGTATATAAAAAGATGCATTTAAATTCAGACCTCATTTTATTAAATTTTATATTTTAGTGAATATTGTTCATTTGGTTTGTCGATTTTCAGTTTTAGATTTATTCATCTTTAATGTGCTCATGAGATGGTAGTTGTATAGATTAGTGACAACACTAAATGAATTCACGGAAAGGTCCGTTGATATGTTCTTCTTAGCGACGGGAAAAATTTGTCTCTATATATCGTCATTGGAGATCAGGAATGGTAAAACAAAGCAAATTTGTTATTTGAATTTCGGCTTGAATTTATTTACGCAAATTTTATGTTTTTTTTGGCGGGGTATATATTTTTTTATAATTTGACGTTTCAACTTCTGACGTACATTTTGACGTACTGTTGACGTAAATAATATGTAAAAATAACGTACTCATTCTTGACTAGTAAAATATTTGAGAATTTGTTAACGTAAGAGAAACGAATTTGTTAACGCAAAATTTTGCGTTTTTTGGATAACCGTTTTTCGCTATGATTCGACCTTTCAGTTTACGTAAATTTTACGAATGTTTAGTAAACTTTAGAGGTGAAATATACGTATTTTTGACGTAAAACGGATGATTCCCTGCAACTTGGGTATGTTTTCATAAAAATCAGAACAGTTCTTTCGTTGCCTTAAATTTGAAAGCTTTGAATACTTTTTATGCTAGTTATTTTTTTCATGATTATTAAGTGCCATTTTCTTTTCTAAAAAAATCAAAGGAACTCAGGCAAATTTTAATACTAAATTTTTTTGATATTGTTGTTAATTTTCAGATAATGTTCTTTACATAAACTATTAGACATCTGTTTTTTATTTTTGTAAAGAAACTTATACTTCTAAAGTTTGTTTTTCGGGGTGGGGAGGGTTGTTGAAAACTGAAAGTCGTCAGTTCCCCGGAAAAAAAACCTGCATAGAATTGCACAAGGCAATACATTATATAGCACGAATGAAAAATGGCAATGACGCTTATTATGTGTTATACTAACTATTAGAATAGTTATTGATAACTCTGGTCACAAAGGTCATTTAAATGCTTTTTCTTAGGTTTAACTGTCAAAATCTATTTGTACCAACAATGAATCTCATTGCATCACACTGATATAAAGACATCTTGATTTTAACCTTTCAAGAAATATTCCCCAAAGACACCTTTTAAGAAAACTAATGAAATCATAACATTTTACATTAAGAAAGTCAAATTCCAAACACATACACCACAACAATTTCTGCTCTATTTAAGCAGGACAAAAAAACTCTTAAATAAAGCCATTACTGTTAATAACCAATATATCAACCATGCTTACATATGATTTTAAGAGCATGATGCTGTGTACCATTTACTAAGGAGCTGCGTACCGTGGAGGACGTTACCATGATGGAAGCCTTTAATTCTGCCGCAGACAATGAATTACTGCACCTTTTAGGTACATATTCCTACTGAGGATAACTCTCAAATTTGCTTGAAGATTCAGGTCAGGTAAGAGGACAGGCCAATCATAACATGCATCCTATTATCCGGGGGAAAAAAACACCGTGAGCTCTTTTTGGTAATAATCAAAAGTTATTCAAGGGACGATTTTTTTTAAAGAAACAATTTATTTTTCATTTAAAACAACTTACTTAAAACAAAATAACATTTACTTTTCCAAAAACAACGCTGCGATGATTTTCTGACATCTCCTGCTAGAAAATCTGACTTGGGTCACCAGTACTCTCTGAAAATGGTTATAAATGGGTTACTGTCAATTTTTGGTAGAAACGAAATGTAACCGAAAGTTATTTAGGGGGATATATACATATCTTTTTAATTTTTAACAACGCACACTGAGCCAAGAAAAAAAATGAACTACCCTAAATAACTTTTGATCTAATCGGATTGATCTAATTTTGATCGGATTTTCACGTTCTAGGACTCAATCTTAATGGCAGGAAGGGGTGACCTCAAATATGATAATTAATAAGCGTAAACAGTATTTAAAGTCACGAAATTAGACATAAAAACGTACTTTCTCTGAATAAACGGAAATTTTTTTTCAGTGGATTCGGATTTCTGTCTCCCAAAATATAGGGGGCAGCTGCAATCTGGGAATTATGGTCCCAATAGTTTGGTCAGGAAAGCGCTCTGAAGTTTGAACCCCTTAATGTTTATTTTACTTTTTGCATACTTCGCTATAGCTCATGAAATTTTTTAGCGAATTGAACATTTTTTCCGCACAATTGTAAAATTCGTTTATCCAAGGTTATTACCATACAAAAAAATAACTTTAAATAAATGTTTATTATTTTTTATTATTTTTTTTAAGAATTATCGAAAAATTTTGAATTTTAATGTTTGCAATTTTTTTTAATCATTTTAAAGAATATAATTTTGCATGGAAAAACACAAAGTTTGAGTAAAATCGGTCGAATAGTTTCTGAGAAATCGCATTTTTAGTATCTGACATTTGTTTGAAATTGTACGTTTGTTGAATATGTTTTGTGTCTGATTTCGTAACTTAAAATACCGTCTACACTAATAAATTAGCATATTTTAAGGCAACTCCTTGAACCATTAAGATTCAGACCTAGAACGTGAAGATTCGATCATTTGATCAAAAGTTATTCAGAGTTGTCTGTTTTTTATTTTACCCACTGTACCTTATCAAGTAAGGAAAAATTGTGGTGTGTTAGGTGCATTTAAACTTTTAAGTATAGAATCATGTCTATTCCTTTTTTATTTTTACAATCTGGTGTGTCTCGATGTATTTTAAACACCTTTTCCAGCAAATATCCCTTGAGAGGAACTGTAAAAACCTTTTTCCCAGTATTAGTAAAGTTATATTAAAGCTTCTCTGAACAGATGTAGTTTTAATAGGTCTCCAATATTTAAATAATTTATTTGTACCTATATTTGCACATTTGATACCTAGTAAAACTGAACCAATTTCTATAATAACAGTAATGCCTATTACCAAAATTAATTAAACTTAAATTAAAATTAATTAATTATCATTGGAGTTGATAACAATGTTGCGATTTTTTACTTTTCTCTCGAACAAATTAGAGCCCTTTCTCTATTGTTGTTGTTGACGTATGCCTCCTTATTTTATTAAATTTTATNGGCCAAGAATTCGACTTCTGCCACACCATACGTCGCACTCGTTTATAGGGCGGACCCAATCATACATCCATTCATTCATCCACAGATCGTAATTTTGATCTGAATCAGAGAACGATCGATACCCCCAGAGGTATTGATTTGTTATGGGAACATTGAGGACTCTTGCGACTCGACAGATTTAACGTGCATTAGTAACTTTATTACACGGGGAGTCTTCAGCCTGCGGGGTTCGAACCGACGAACTCTCGGACATGGGCCCAGCGCCCTACCGACCAGACTATCCCGGCCCCTCCCTTTCTCTATTAATTTTGTTTTATAATTCTTAGAGTACATAGATTATTTTAATTTCAGTTAATGTTTATTATTAGGATTAATTAAGCGCTATTGGCGTCAATAATAGTGTGGCGATTTTGTTAAACGGATTAGTACCCTTTATCTATTAATTGTGTGAAGACTCTTTAAAATACAGTACAGATTATTTTTCGAACTACTTGACCGATTTTAATGAAATTTGATCCATACAAACATTGATACAATGCAAAACAAATAACTATTCAACGATGCACACGCATGATCGCGCTTAACACCCGTTGAAATCGGAAGGCATGAAATTGCCACAGGATAATCATACCCCCTATTAACCCATTTTTTTTATTTATTCCTCAACCTCTGTTTCATACCTTCCTACTCCAACGAGTGTTACGCACGATCATGCGTGTGTATTACAATTGTTGAATGGTTATTTTATTTTATATTGCATCAACGTATGTACAGATCAAATTTCATTAAAATCGGTTCAGTAGTTCTAGAGTAGGGGTGCACAACCTGCTGCCCTTCGACTACTGAAGTGCGGCCCGCGAGAGCTTCTAAACACAATGAATTTTTTTTTAAAAATAGGCAATTTTTATTCGCACTTTTAAGTCATCACGTTTTGACACAATCAATTTTAACAGATTCTTTAGTACCTAAATGTACGTTTAATGCGCTTTCTTTAAGCCGATTTTATCGTAAATATATTTTATTTTATAACCGTCGTTGAACAGCCGACCCAATTTTTGGTTTACG